CTCACAAAATTCTTAATTTCTCACATACATGCATGCATGCATGCGTCTTCACAAAGTCAGTTAGTAATTTGCAAATTTTGGCAGGCATTTAACTAAAGAACCTACCAATCGAATTTTCAGTAAATTCAATATTTTTCTCGAAAATATCAGACCTGCTTGTTTGGACTTGTGAGCGCGTGCAGTCCTGGCTCGACTCAATTGGCCTTAAGGAATACGCCCCCCACCTGGGTGGCAGTGGTGTTCATGGTGGAGTCATCGGTCTACATCCCGATCTCGATGTTTCCCAGCTAGCTCTTCTCCTCCAGATACCAACAAGCGCCACAACAGCCCGCAACATTCTTGCGCGTGAACTAGGGGATCTAGTGGACCGCTTCCGCGCTAGTGTTCCCACTGCTGCAGCCACTCTTGGTCCCGCACCTCGCGTTCTGGCGTTAGAGGCAGCAGCCCGAACAAGGCAGCAACAACAGCAACAGCAGATGCAATCACAACGGCTGCAGCATTCTGTCAACGAGCTTGTTGGAGAGTGTTTAATGCCAAGCAAAGATCCTAACGACTCCGAGGTATTTGCCTAGACAATCTTATTATGGCATAAATTTTGATCTTACTGTTTACTGACCCTGTAGCTTATTGCTACTGGGTATTCTTCGAAACTACTATTAGGTTTTGCATAAGCGCTTTATTCACTTTGGTTCGCATAAGATGATAGACTGAGTTGAATTGCCCCATAATGATATGCATAGGCCTCACGATACCATTGGATTTCACTTAGCTTTGCCTCCCAAAAGATATTCTCATCCAGAGTGGAATGAAGTTTCGGCCCCCCTGGGCCTTATCAACACCCCAAACGGCGTAATGACAACATGTACTCGGGTTCGATTCCCGTTTGGAGTGCTGATGAGACCCAGCCCATGTCGGGACTTCAGTCTACCCACTTTGGGAAGCATGGCTAAATGAAGTTGACTAACATCGTGAGAGATTGTGGTAAAATTAAGCTATCAGCCCTTCATAGCCTTATTTGATCTAGGATGAATACAACTCTTATTAAATCAAAAGTATTATTCCTTAGTTTCTATACTTATTTACTAGTTTTAGCCAATACTTATTTCATTTGCTTACACCACGTCCATTTGGCTATTTTTTCTAGCAACCCGAGGTATTTAACGAAGTTGATAGAACGACCCTTACAAATAACGGACTCGGTGTAATGCCTGCCAGCTCTGACATAATTGGTATGTATCTATTTTAGGTAATCACTGTTTTCCTTGCTTTCTCATTCTCTGCGCTAGACTTCCTCTCTGTCGTACGAAAATAACACATTTTTTGGATATATTTCTTTTGGCCTTTTCTGCCTTTATAAGAAGAATGACGTTCTTACTTGGTTGTTTACAGTACAGTTACTGAATCAAATTTCTTTTTTAAATAATTATTCCTTAAAATTATTATTATTACCCCATATAGGTAAATTTAAGCCATCTAGGCTATGATATAGCAAGGAGTCACAGTTTAGTTCTTCTAATGCAAATTATTTACCTGGCCTTTGGCAAGAAACGTGTGAGGCTATCAACCCAAGAAGTTTGGTGAAGAATTGTTTGACCTTGTTTTCGCAACTTGGTCATATTGGTAAGAAGACTTAGAGGAACGCACCTTGTCCAGAGTCCATTGTATGCATTATTATTTCCAGAGTAGAAACGTCAAAAAGTCAAGTTGTAATATGGTGCTACGAATGGCGAGACTCACTGACGATGCCGACTACGATGCCAGAGAAATGTCTGCGAATGTATCACGTCCACGGTCCTACTCTGAAAATAATGATGCATACAATGAAATCTGGACAACATGCGTTCCTCTAAGTCTTCCTACCAATATGACCGAGTTGCAAAAACAAGGTCAAACAACTTCTATACAACGAAAGGAGACTGCGACCAAACAAAAGACCACATCATTTTGGTCATTATATTTTTAGTAAGGAATGTTTAAAAGATGAAGAACAGCAAAGAATAAACGAGTTGCTTCGTGCCCAAACTCACACCACTCTAGACTTATTTGAATAACAGTAAAATGAATGCATTTATACCTACTAAGCCCTGAAACAGTGACAGTGATAGTACCGCTAAAACTCCGAATCCTTAGGACGTGTAAAATTAAGATCATATAAATCTCTGTTAACAAACTGATATAGAGGAAGGCATTTCAGCGTTTTGTCTGAAGCGTGTAGGCAGCCTAGTTCGTGTTGGATTTATCACCCGTTACTTTTTATATTTTTACTCTCTATTATCATTGGCATTTATAAAATCATTCGTAAGTGAAGATATTCTTATCCCATTTTCAGCATTTGTAACCTACTTCTTTTCTGATTTAATTCTTACACAAACACACACATGTATATACTGGTAATTATCATAATTATATTATATAAGCTTTGTAATTGATTAAAGCACAATTTTATGTACATTTTGCAAATTCGTCATGTTA